GGCTTGCTGCAAAGGGGGCGGGGGTTGGTGGGAAGGACACTGGCTTGTTGCAAGGGGAGGAGCCTAGCAGACAGGGAGGGGCTGATCACGACTCATGGGGCTTATTGGCAAGGGGCGGTGCCTGTCTGGTGGGGCGGAGCTTGCCAGACGGGGGCGGGGCTTGCACACAACCAGCAGGGCAATCCTGGGGGCTGCTGTCAGGGAGGCGGAGCCTACCGAAGGGGTGGGGCTTGTCCGAGGGGGCGTGGCCAGCTCACCTTCTTGCTCTCCTTGTCGCCTTCCTCCTCCTTCCGTCCCTTCTCCTTCTCCTCCTCTTCCTCCGGCCCCTTCTTGGCCTTCTCCTCACCCGGCGCCTCCCCCTCGCCCTGGGGGGGGGGTGGAGGTGGTGTCACCAGGGGGCTGGGGGACCCCCGGGGCTGGGGGGGCACCCCAAGAGGCTGGGGGAACCCCAGGAGCGACCCCTACAGACCAAGGGGACGCCACGGGGAGACCACGGGGTGGGGGGACACACCCCAAAGGGCTGGGGAAGCTCAAGAGAGACCAGGGGAGACACGGAGACCCCAGGGGAGACCCTACAAGCCCCAGGGGACCCCAAGAGAGACCCCATAGAACAAGGGGGACCCCAGGGGGACACCTTAGGAGCCAAAGGAAGCCCTTGGTGACCCCAGGACAGACCCCATGGACCCGAAGGAACCCTAGGGAGACCATGGGGACCCCAGAAGAGACCCCATGGGCCCAAGGAGACCCCAAGAAAGACCCCGGGGGGTGGCATCACCTTCTTCCCCTCCTCCTTCTCCTCACGCTCGGGGGCTTTGCGGTCAGCATCAGGGGGTCGCGGTTCCTCCTTTTTGGCTGCTTCGACCTTCTCCTGCCGCTCCTCCTCCTCCTCCTGCTCCAGGATGCGCAGGTCGTTCTCTGTACCCCCCTCCATCTTAATCACCGCTAAATAAAGAAAAATAACAGAAAAGGAGATCAGAAAAAGAGATGCCACCAGAAACAAGGAACCAAGGGAAGTTTTGGCACAGGCAAGGGGGGGTACCTACCAGCATCAAGGGTCTTGATGATGGCGGGGGCACGATCGATGTCGAGGAGGAGATTGTCGAACCAGCCGTTGTCCGAGAGGTAGAGGAAGACGTTGAGGCGGTTCCTCAGGGCCGCCTGCGCCTCCTGCTTCCGCTTCCCCGCCTCATCTGGGTGGTACTTGGAGCGGAACCTGGTTTTTTGGAATGGGGAATGACATGGGGGAGGGAGGGGGATGGAAAATGGGGGGTGTCAGGGATTGGGGGTACAGCCCTGCCCCAGCCGGGGGTCCCGCTGTGGCAGGGGAGAGGGGATACCCCCCCCCCATCGCTCCCCCAGCCCCTTCTACTTTTCTGCGTTGGCGGGGAGAAGTGGGGAACCCCCCCATCTAGACATCTGGGGTGGGGGGACCCTTGTTTCTAGCAGATAGGAATACGCGTTTTTTGTGCCTGGGGCATGGAGTATCCTGTCTGTCGTAACTGGGGTGCAAGGACCCCCATTTTCTCTGGCAGGGGTACAGGGACTCCCCCCACTGCCCCTGGCTGGGGTATGGGGACCTCATCTGCTCCAACTGGGGAGTGGGGACCCCCATTCCCCTTGGTCGGGGTGGAGGGGACCCCGTCTGCCTCAACTGGGGAGCAGAAATGCCCAATTTCCCTGACCGGGGTACAGGGACAACCCCCCCTCCCCATTTTTCTTGGTCAGGGTGGGGGGACCGCCCTTTCTCCCCAGCCAGGGGAAACGGGGGGACCCCACTTTGCCCCCTCCACACCCCCTACTTCCCCCGGTCAGGGTACAAGGACCCCTGTGTGCCCCGGCCAGGGTGGGGGGAGCCCTATTTGTTCCAAATGGGGTGGGGGTACCCCCACTTCCCACAACCGGGGTGTGGGGAGCCCCGTTTCCTCCTCGGTGGGGTGCAGGAACCCCTGTGTCCGCCATCTGGGGTACAAGGACCCCCTGTCTGCCCCAGCTGGGGTGCAGAGACCCCCATATCTAGCCCATTTGGGCCACGAGGACCCCCATATCCCCAAACCAGGGTGTGGGAACTCCCTGTCTGCCCCAGTTGGGGTGCAGGGACCCCTGTGCTCCCCAACTGGGGCGCAGGGACCCCTTATTTGCCCCGATTGCGGTGCAAAGACTCCTGTGTCCCCCAAACGGGGTGTGGGGACCCCTCGTCTGTCCCAGTTGGGGTGCAGGATCTTCGTACCTGCCCCAGGTGGGGTGCAGGGACCCTTGTGCCCCCCAAGCAGGGCGTGAGGACGTCCTGCATACCCCAACTGGGTTGCAGGGACC